GCTTTTGAAGGAAGTAAGTTAGCAGAAGGGGGGGGGGGAGTAAACTTACCTTTACAGACCAGCTTCGATGTTCACGATCCTATTTCTTTTCATGTCTTTGTGTCTAAGATATAGGAGATTCTGTCTCTTTGCGATTCGATCACTACAAATGAAATCAAAGGGTGGTTCTGAGCTGTGGGACAAGATCTCTATTGCTCAAAATGTTTCTGTTTCTTTCCTTTCCTGTATTATCCAATGTGACCTCTTCTGTCACGTGACGTTTTTTGGGGGATAACTAGTACTGTACTAAACGCTGTTGGAAAAATTGTTTCCTGTTTAGAGTCATAATAACTTACTTTGTAAAGATCAGTTATGAAGTCATTGCCAAAAGACTATGTATGCTAAGTATTAAACACAGATAATTCCTGTATAAGGTATACTACTGGCACACGAATCTGTCCCCATAATAGGTCATGAATTTAAGACTTCCATCTTTGGTCCTCATATTTATCTATGCAGTTTTCTGTTTACCTGCTTTGCCTGGGAGATAGGTAAATCTGTTTTTACACTGCAGGAGTGGGTTAATGGCGCTATCAGTACTCCTCTGACTCATGGTTTTTACTTCAGTAATTTCGCAGGGGTTGGTCTTTCCTAGTCCAGCCATCTGTATGCTTAAATGTTTCGTTTACATTCTTAGTAGGTAAATGTAAATATCAGTGAATATCCTATGTGCAACTGAATTTCCAGATGTTCATCAGAATGTTGTGTGGAGCAGTCTCAGAATTTTCTTTTTTCTTAAAGAAGTTTGGAAATGATGACTGACTAATCTTGCTTAGATAGATTTCGTTCTTGGGGAATTTGAAGTATACCAGTTAGCATCTGATACTAATATTAGTTGGCATCTGCGAATCATTAATAACTATGTGTTGTATGGTAAACAGCAAAGATGAATTACTAAAACCCAGTGTAGGACATTGTTGTTTATGTAGTGATGATGCCCAAACACCCCATTTGTAAAGATTATGAATAGCCAGCAGTGAAATTGGTTCTTGCTGCCCAGAGTTGGTTCTCTTTGGAGTGGCCTATAAAGCCTTATAAATAAGTAAACAAACATGGCTTCACTAGGAGAGATTTTTTAACTAAGTTTCTTGTAGTTCATATACTATAGAAATTAGCATATGGCTTGCATTGGTAGCTTGCTTTTTTTTTTTTAATCAATTTAGGGTGTGGCTTAGTGCAAACATCATCTTAAGTCAAGCTAAAGTAAACTAAGTGTTGATATAGTGATGCATGAATCCAGTAGAGTTTTTAAACTAACATGTATAGTTTAGTATGCTATGTAAGGCAGCCAGCTGTGGCTAACGCAGTACTATGTTCAAACAAAATATTGTTTAACATGGAATCTTATCGGAAGCCAATGTTGTTCCTGTTAAATGAATGCTTGATAGGACTCTAGCTTCACATTTTTACTAGCTGCAGCTTCTGAGTTGTCCTCAAGGTTAGCCCAATATAAAGTGCATTTTCAGTAATCTAAATTATGTTCTGCTGATTTCCTATTTAATGTGGTAGGTTGTACATCTGTCTCATTGTGGGGCATTAGTTTGATGTCCAAGAAAAGTCTCTACTAGTTGAATGGATTCAACTAAATGTCAACATATTCTAGAAACTAATGTTCTACAATGTTAGCGGAATTATTAGAGGAGTGGAAGCTGAAAAGAAGTTGAATATGTCAAGTCAAACAACAATCTAAAACATAGCTCCAAATCAACCATGAAATACTTTCAGGAAAGAAAGGAAAATGTTTTGGAATGGACTTCATAATCTCCAGATTTGAATATTATTTTAAAACTGTGGAGAGATCTCAAACATACAATACGGTACATGTAAGGAGACCTAAGAATATTTCTGAGCTGAAGAGTTCCACAAACAAGAGCAGGAAAACATTCCAAAAGCAAGAATAGAAAGATTCTTAGCTAGCTACAGGAAATGGCTGGAAATTATTTCTGCCAAAAGAAAGGATACAGAGTACTAACTGAAAGGGTATTCAAACTTCTGCACCTGTCATATTCACTGCTTTTTAAATTTTGAATCTGTGAACAACTGCACAAAAATAATAAATATGCATTCCAATTTTCAAAAAGATATCATGTTTAACCTTGTACCATGTAAAAGTTGTGTCAGTTTCTACTCACAAGAGTGCCTAAATGTTTATATATAACTGTTCATCATTCTGTATACATCATCTTTAACATGCCGTATTAGTGAGACACACTAATTGTGCTTATTTGCTAATCCCAGATTAGTTGATGTTTTATGCAAAGGAGCTCACTAAATTGCTGATAACTTCCGTTCTTTATAATCCTTTTATTAAAGAATCAAAAGAGGGCACTCATTTGAACTCCAAGCTTTTTTCTTTTAATGCAGGAGTAAATTGAGGAATGTAGATAGTTTTCATTATCCTGAATCACTACCTACATTAATTGTTTTTACATACAGAAGCTTTTCTACTTTTTTCTGGATTTAATACTAAACAAGGTTTTATTGAAAAGGTTTATATTTGTCGGGACTTTTATGTCATACTTATTTTAACCAGACATAATTTTTGAATGCTTCCTGTTTCAACTGAAATTTTAAAGAAATAATGCAATATGTAATTCTCATTCTTAAAAATATGATGTTTGTCTCTTGTTAACTGAATTCTGTACAAAAAATACCTATGTTAAGTATCCAGAGTCTTAGTGGACAGTGCTGAGTTTTGAAAGCAGATGTGGCTAATGCAGTATGAATAGTTGTTTTGTGGTTACTTTAGGATATTATACAAATCAGAACTCTGGCTTATTCTGAGAAGAACAAGCCTAGTTAAAACATGGTTGTCTTGGGTTTCTTTCTCTGATTTATTCCAAGTGGAGGAAACAAGAGTCTTTAGTCCGCATGACACATTAAACATTTCTCCAACATGTTTGTACGCCGTCCAGAGTCACCTGTGGTGAAATGGTCAGCTATATAAATTGATTTAGTAAATAAATAAAAATAAATTTTACACGTAAGGTGATAAACATTTCTGAGGACAGTTATTTGGAGCAGAATTTAACTGTCTCCTTGCACATTTGGCACTGTAACCAGAATTAAAACACTAATCTGATTATAATTTCCTAAATCTATGTTCATTGTTACAATAACATGAAATACTTGATTAAACTTTTCAGGAACAACGCAGTAGTTAACTTGTATACTGTATTCCAGTGTGTACTTTAAAGGTACTCAACAGTTTTTATGTAGACATCAGTTTGTGGCTTTCACAGTTTGTACGTGTTTCTTTCTGAGCCCTTTTAGGACCTGAATGACTTGAATTTCAGAAGCTGTTTGTCATGCGGTATGCAGGACCTGTGTTGCTCCATAGTAGTGCTTCTCACATGGAAGGAGCTATGCACTTCTGTGGATTATGCGGAAGAAAGTGCTGGTCAGGATGAAAAAGGAAACACAGCTTAGAGTGTCTAAGGGTATCATTGTCTTCTGCTTTTCTAGCACAGGCACTTGGCAAGCTGCTGGCTTTTCCAGGGTAGTTAATGATAGGGCCAAAGGTGTTGGCTACTTATAGAAGTCAGAATCCCATCTGAGTGAGTTAAACTCTTGTGCCAATCTGAAGTACCTTCTCTTATCCTAGCCATTATTATAATTCATTATGTTGCCTAAAACCAGAGAGTAACAACTAATGTTATGCAGGTGGATTGCACTAATACAATGGGACTTCACTTTCCTTATCTTTAGCTTTCTGCAAAACTACAGAGATGGAGATGTGCAGAGGGGAGGATAGGTACTCTATTGTTACTGGCCATTCTGCCAGCAATAAGTATTCAGTCCAGTAGATGTTTTATGCTGACAGTTTGCAAAGACATTTAATTAAAAAAATGACAGTTGTTGAGGGCAGGTTTTCCATGTAATTGCAGAAGGTGGTATTTCATTTCAATGGGAGCCTCTTGGCCATGGTGCATTTTTGGTTCAGAGGGTGTAGGAAGTTGTCACTCAAAGAAAGAAGCTAAAGAACCCCCATTCATTAAAGGAAACATTTATGATGCACTTTGGCATCCAATAATCTAAAACCACAAGGTTGTGTAATGTTGATCCTCAAGAAACTTTAACACTGGACAAGAATAATGCAATAGCTGAATAAGCTGTCTCAGGTAGTTGTAGAATTTTCTGGGAGGACTTTGAGGGGAAAAATATTTTTAGTAAACATTGATGTAAAGAGACTGTTTTATTTATAATTTTTTATTCAGTTCAAATTACAGAATCATTCAGGTGCAAGCAACAGGCATGTAGATAAATTCTTTCTTTTATAGCATTCCCCTGAAAGTAAATACCCAGTTTTGGGGGGGGGGTAAAGTAGGCCCCTCAGATCAGTTTTGATGAATCTGTTTAAAACTTTTGCAAAATTAAAAATTACTTTGACTTACCTAGTATTTTATAATAAAAGAATTGGGTGGGGGATCTATACCTGAATTAGGTAGTGGACTGGTAATAGATGTTTTCTGTCAACATTATAATTAGTGTTTAGTTTTTTGATAAAGAGGCAAGAATTATTTTTGAATAATGTACTCATTTGTTTTTAAGTTGCTCTGTTTATAATTTTCTGTGGCTTTTTTTCCTTTGTGTGTTTTCTTTTTACAGTATGCATATGGAAATGCATACCCATTATGCTATTGCCTTTTGAGGAAAGCAATGTTATGCTAAGTACAGAAAAGGAGAAAGAAATAGTAAGCCAAAGAAATCAAATATAAGGCAAAAAGAGAGAGAAGAGAAACTTAAATCTACTTTAGACCAAAACTTTTACTATACTTGAACTTCTTACCTCTTTCTGTTGGAAGATCTCATCAAAGTCCTTCCAACCACAACTTTCTGCTTCCTCGCAACCTACACTCTTTCTTCATATATTAATTTTGCAATTTGATCCTCATTATTTTCCTCTTAAGTTACCAAACTGCCTCCTACTGAATCCTACCAAGACCGAGTTGTTGTGGGTGCTTGGGCCATCCAGATCTGAAGATGTTCCATCACTGATCTCGGATGGGGTTGCACTTCCCCATTCAAGAGTTGCGCACAATCTGGGGATCTTCCTGGACTCACATTTCCTACTCAATGAGCAGGTGGCACCTATGGCCAGGAAGGCATTTGCGCAGCTTCATGTGGTGTGCCAGTTGCTCCCTTTCTGGATTGGGAGGCCCTTCAGACAGTCACTCATGCCCTGGTTACTATACGGCTGGACTACTGCAACCCACTCTACATGAGGCTGCCCTTAAAGAGCCCCCCAGGACTTCAACTCGTCCAAAATGCAGTGGCATAGACAGTGATGGGCACACCTCAGTATGCCCATGTAATGCCTCTGCTTTGCGAGCTGCACTGGTTGCCGGTTTGCTTCTGGGTGTGATTCAAACTGCTGTTTGTTACCTATAAAGCCTTCATGTGATAGGGCCTGGTTACCTGAGGGATTGCCTATCTAGAATCCTATATCTGCCCAGCTGATTCAATCTGACAGGGTTGGTGTGCTCCAGGTTTCTTCAATTAAACAATGCCATCTGTTGGGACCCTGGAAACTTATCTTCTCTGTAGCAGCACCTCTCTTCTGGAATGAAGTTCCCTGCACGATCCAGATGGCCCCCACTCTGCTGGTGTTTCAAAAGGGCTTGAAGACATGGCCTTTCTCTCAGGCCTTTAACAAGCATGAGTGAAGCCCCCTTTGGTTGTGTGGGTGTGTTTCTTTTTTTCCCCATTCCAGTCAGGTTTCTGTCATCTTGCTATTTTTTTATTCCTTATTTTTATTATATTTTCAAAAAACGTTTAATTGTAAGCCTCCCAGAGTTGTTGGGAGAGAGTAAATAAATAAAACATGCTTTTTTCGTACCAGTTATTTACTTTTTTATTCACTCCTCATTCATTCAGAACTCATTTACTCCTGACTTTAGGATTTCTAGTTTTACCACATATGCTTCTTAAATATCCCATTCCCACTGCATCTAATTTACTATTTGTTGCCCCTTAAATACACAGCTCTCACTTCCATGAAACAGACTGGGAAAAAGCATGTTTTTACATACGGGTGGTCTTTGCTTAATAACCATTTGAAGTAACATGGTGCTGAATGAATGGTAGTTACAACCAGTCCTTGAAGTTATGGCTGTTGCATCGCCCCTGTGGTCACATGATCAAAATACAGGCACTTGGCAGCCCGCCCACATTTATGAATGCAGCATGCACTTCACATCCCCCCACCTGCTTATCTCCCCCCCATCTCTGCCCTTTTGGCTGCCCTGCACTCTGGTGGTGGTGGGAGGCAGCAGCAGAGTGCAGGGTGGCCAAATGGGCAGAAATGGGGAAAGATAAGAAAGTGGGAAGAGTTGAAGCAAAGGCAAGCATGGCAGGACAGAAGAAACATGAGGTCCTCACTGAATGACAGCGCAGTCCTTGTGTAACAACCACAGCTGGGACTACCGGAACAGCCGTTGCTAAGTGGTGTGATCATGTGATATTTCGCCTAATGGCTGCTTCACTTAGTGACAGAAATTCTGGTCCCAATTAGGGTCGTTAAGCAAGGACTACCTGTACATCCATTTTTATTTCTTTTGACAAACATTCATTCTTTACAACAGAGCCCAATACTACCCACTACTTTTTTGCCAGCATTTGCATCTCTTAATATTTCTCTATCCATTTTCCCATCTTTTCACAAATTCAAGTACTCGAATTTTTCATCATATATGTATAACTTGCAATCATTCACTCAATTTTCTTGTCCAGTATGAAGCCAGCTAGGAGAGACATACAGTGCAGTGACTTAGAATACCAATTCACACTCCAGAAGTTATATTAAATTAATAACTTGATTTTAGATATTTAAATTTCTGTTAGTTTAGCTTAATGAAATATTAGGACTGAAATTAGTATAGGGAGAAATATTTACATTAATGTAAATATTTATAAAATATAGTGATCCATTTTTGATTAATTGACTATCTGGTACTGAAGTAACTGCATAGGCTCAAAGACTACATAGATATTTTGTATAGAAAATGGAAGAAGTGTTTTTTTAAATATCAGACAAACTGGGTATCTGGAAAATATTGAAGAGCAGGTACTGTACAAGGTAAAAAAGAGGGAAGATGGTGTGAAGCAAATTCTGTTTCAAGTAAATAGGCACTCTAGGTTGAAGCCAAATATCAGAGTAGACCCCTGAGTCAGTGAGGCAAAAGCCCCATTAATTTGGGTTGGTGTATTTTAACTAAGTTCAGATTAAATCCTCTATCATGTGTATGAAAATTCTCTAGGTAGATATCCTCTTGCTGGGAAAAGTTATAACTTGCTTATGTTAATTGAATGTTATAATATATGAGATGATTTTTATCCTTATCCTGCTTCCTAAATTCATTTATGTTGAATGGGGTGAATGTTGTTGTTTCATAATATTGTGTTCTGTCTCTGTAGTTGTATTGATGTACAGACAGACTTCATTGTAGAATAACCTGGTAAACTGAACAGCCCTTATGAAAACCTAAGTAATTAAGCATTCCATTCTGACACTTTTAACATATGAGAGGTAAATTATCACTGTTCCAGTTATTTTCAAAACAGTAAGTCTAGATGCAGAAGTTAGTAAACAGTCTCTGAGATTTTGTTGCCCCTCTAAACGCTAAAGAAATACATAGAATTTGACATTATTTGCCAGGTCAATATCTGAAAAATATCAACTTTCTATATTACTATTTTTTAAAAACCAACAGGTTGTAAACCTATAGTATGGGAGAAATGCTGTGATATTTCCAAAACCAGAAAGGAACTCTGTGGATTTCTCAGGATGGGGGTCAATGCTTGTTTCCTTACAACTGAAACAATACAATGTATATACAGACCAGGCACAATAAATGTATATACAATTAACCTATTTACTGTTTTATGTTACATTTTGATTGTATATTTGTTATTTTGTATGTTGTGAGCCATCCAGGGAGTTTCTAAGTAGAAAAAAATAAACTTTCAATTTAATAGACCTTGGTCAGTGAATTTTGCATGCAGCTGAAAAAATCTGTCCAGACACTGTAGGCATAAAATCCAATTCACTATTTTACATATGCATACAGTCTGATTCATAATTAAAGGGCATTTTGGTTTAAAACACATTTCTTTTCATTCAATTAGTTCCTTAAATCAAGAGTTTGCCATAAAACATAGATGGATTGCATAATTGAGCTTTCCTTGGTACTGAATTTCTTTTTAGTATGGGGTAAATGCAGCCCTGAAATGAAGTGGCATTTGTTGCTAAGGTTAAATTTTCATCATGAGAACAGGAAAGCAGCTGTTTGTCAAAGATTCTGTGTTTTTGAGAAATTAACTGATGTTTGAGGGAAGTGCTAAGTGTTTTTGATAATAAGGTCCAAGTCCTTTTATTCAAAGCTATGCAATGATTAAAGTAAAACTGGAGGAGTTATATTAATGAAATGCTGTTGTGCTAACTAATATTCCTTTGATCACTAATACTGATATTTGCATTAATCCATATATGTTGAATGGGGTCACGAAGAGTCGGACACGACTTAACGACTAAACAACAACAAATATATGTTGAAGTTCCCTGCTTGGGCCTCTTGGATTGGTTTAAGGACTTATATAGGGGACAGTCTCCTATGTGACTAGAGAGGATTGGGTTGGCCGAGCAGGTAGACTATGGTGGACAGGCTGTTATCCTAACCTCGGAAAGTCCTACTATTGAAGAATATATGAGCCTTTTCTTAAACTTTCTTTGTTAGTTTGGGGTTTTTTTCTGATACCAGTTTTATATAAAGTTTATATAAAAGTTACTCTGATTGTATCACATCCAAAAGAAAGGTAAGACCTTAGAAATTTTGAAATAAAAGGCTGTGAATGTTGTAATCAAGCTAATATAGAAGGTGTACTATTTGGGAAGTGTATCCATTACAACTATGTTCAATTTTCCAGGAAGATGTGGAAACAGGGGTTCATCTTGATCCAACCACCAAGGAAGTTCAGTATAATCCAAGGTATGACACCATGTTTGCACCAGAGGTGAGTAAACTAGCTTTTTAACTTGAATTGTTTTTAATTAATCATAGAAACATAGATATGAGGATCTGGAGATCATCTAGTCCAATCCTCTGCCCAGTGAAGGAATTTCTGTTACATCCAACCATCGAGCCCACCACCTTCAAAGCACTCTATTTCATTGTTCAAAGGCTCAGACCATTAGGATATTTTTTCTGATGTCTAGCCAAAATCCACTTTCTTGTAGTTTAAACCCACTGATCCTGTCCTGCTTTCTGAAGCAACTCTAAACAATTCTGCCCCGTCTTCTACAGGATAGCTGTTAAGGTACTTGAAGACAGCTGTCATGTCTCCCCCCATTCTTCTCTTCTCTATACCCATTGCTCCAGCTGTTCTTATGCGTTTTTCTTTCCAGACTCCTTATCACCTTTCCTTTGGGTATGCTCCAGTTGATGCCTTTCCAAAGATGCAGTGGCCAGAATTAGACACAGTATTTTACCTGCAGTCTCACCAACACAGAATAGAGATGAACTATGACTTTTCTTAAGCTTGATGCTATAATATTAGCTGATATTGTTCAGTGAGACAAGTGAAAAAAATACCATTAATTGTTAAATAATGTATAAACAGGTTTTTTTAATGTCATCTATTGTATTTAGGTATGATTGATACATTCTTCAACTAGATCTATAATTTTAAATCTGAGGCTAGAAATTAGGTTTTCATTTTATAATTGTTCAGTACATTAAATGATACATCAAAACGAATAATAAAAATAATTACAATATTTAATAGAGAGCTTGAACTATGAAACTGAAAAACCTCTCTCCTATAAATAAATCATCCTTAACTAAAAATTCAGATTTCAGGTAATTAGAATAGGATATCCTGATAAACATTTCATAAAAGCATAGAGTTGAAAGTTACCTCAGAAGTCATCTAGTCCAACTCCCTTCTTGGTGTGGAATCTGCTAAAGCATTTTGGACAGCTATCCAGCCTCTGTTTGAAAACCTCCAGTGAAAGGGAACATACCACATATTGAGGCAACTTATTCTGCTGTTTGATAGCTCTTATTGTCAGGAAATTTCTCCCAATATCTCGCTTGAATCTTCTTCCCTGTACTTCAGCCCAGTGGTACTGGTGCTGCCCTTTGGGGCAACAGAGAACAAGCCTATTCCCTCCTGTGTATGGCAGCCATTTAGATATCTGAAGACTCCTGTCAGTTCTTCTGCATTTTTTATTTACTGTTTCTTCTTTTGTACGATATAGCTTCTTAAAACTAGAAATAATAAAGCTAAATAATGGAGTTGGTGTACATAAAATACATCAAGTCTGTTTATAATGCTCTAGCTATTTCATTTTTTATTTGGAAATAGTAGGCAAGGTGTGGGGAAAAGAATCATCTTATTCATAGCTTTATAATCTCATAGCCAGATATTACTTTTACTTCTTTTTCTTGCATTTATGAAATTACACAGTAGGTGGAGTATTATGGACTCTCTTTTTTATCAGTTACACACTAGATCTGTATGCCTCAAGGATGCTAATTCTATCAACAGACAAGGAAGCAAAGTTGATTCTCAAGGATTCTTGGCCTGATCTGAAGTAGACATTACTGGAGATTCCTCCACCAATTCTTTATATTTCATAATTTGACAAATGTGAGGGCAGCTTGTGATTTCAGATTTCCTGGTAGCAACAAAAATGATTTTTTTTTCGTGTATTAAAATTAGGAATTGCACTGCACTGATACATGGGAGATTTTGTGTTGTAAATTTGCATGTTTTAATGTGTTTTTATGAGTTTCATAAATGCCTTATTTTCTGTAATAATATTTACTGATAAAAAGCAGCAGTCTTCTTTACATTTGTAATCATTTTTCTTCTTAAATCCTAAAAGAAAAAAACCAGCTTGATGCTAATTTTCTAGTAAAATTAAAACTATGGGAAGAAAATTAGAATACAAATTTCTACTATATAAAAGCTGTCAAAATACCCAGATTATTATTTTTTTAAATCATAAAATTGAATATTCCTCAGGGAAAAGCTCCTCCAGGCAAAAGTAACCAGTATAAGTATACAGTTTCATTAGTCTCAATATAAACAGCTATTAGTTGCAAAAACATGGCTGTCAAAACTCAACGGTTACTTTTTGTAAGTTCGATGCACTTTTTTGAGACAGTGGTGATCTGCATTCCCCAGAGTAAGCAATATGAAAAACATATATTAATTATAAAGGGTACCAAAATTTACTATGATTTTTGCTGATTAGGAATATCTGTGTTACTTGATAAGTTTGATCTTATATTTAAACATGAGGGAGTAAGGGGATGATTCAAGATGCAAAACATGTCTGATGTCTCCTGAAGATGTGGAAATAATACATGAAATAAATCTCATTAAGTATTTCAATTTTGACTTTTCTGACAGATGGCTTAAGATTCATATAGTGAGCGGAACAAGTCTCTCTGTGGGTTAGAATACTACACATAATAACCTCATATTAATAGCTGTAGTTAATTTATGAGGAATATATTCCTTTCATCTGATCAGTGCTTTTGCACTCTATTTTTGCCTCTCACTGAATTATCAAAGTCTTTATGTCTCCCTCAAAATTGTACACAAATTTAGTAGAATGGATATGTTGTAACAAGATTGTCATTCCATTGTGAAATAGATTCTTCTTCTCTGCAGACATATATGCCTGTCTTTGGTGGATAAAAGGGATTTTCAGAACTAATTTAGATGTACACAACAGGAGTAGGAAAGAATGAAGAGGACTGCCATTGCATAAACAGAAAGTAAAATTGAATGTAGTGCCTTAGCTCTGACATGAAGAAAACTTACAATCTAACATTTATAATGCGATCAATTAAATATTGAAATCTGATAGGGTTGGATTCAGGATTGTGTAGAGTAGAAATCTAAATTGCTCTCACCCACAGATGGAGGGAATGTGGTGACTTCTGCAGATTCTGCTTCTCTCTTGCAGTCATCTATCACCAACAGGGTTGGAGGTATTGTAAAATGTGTTTTGTCCAGGTATAGTTCACAGAAAAAATCAATTAAAGCTTTCAGCAGAATTTTTACTTAGCTGTTGTGAAAAATATCACATAGAAGGCAGTACAGAAGAACCCCTTCCATCCTGATTCAAACTATCTTATTGATGCAGGAATAGGAAACACATGGAGAATAACAACTAAACTCCTAGATAGCCCATAGATAACATAGAATGAACTCTAGAGTCCTCCCTGGCTCTATTGCAGTTATATTCAGCTATAAAATACCCTAATTTATAGCTGTTGTAACATTTTTTGGAGGATGTGGGGTGTACTAGGAATAATAATTAACAGCTCTAATGCTACAGAATGGTTATTAAATTGGAGGGGGAATTTCTGGTCTTATCATCTGCTCTCAGTCTCTTTAACTTTATTTGAGTGAATGGAAACTTTGCATCTGTCTGCTTTTCTTCCAGTTTAATTTTCTTGGTGCTGCTGTTTTTGGATAAAAAGTCCCAAAATGGGGGAAATAACTTACTGTTGAACTGTGATTTTTAAAACATTTTTGTATTGTCTACAATTGACATATTGTACTGGAAGAATTCTAAAAGTAAATTATTGACTCCATTTCCAATGCAGACTATTTGATTATTTATCTCTATATATAAAACATACCATTTACTGAATATATTGTAGATATGTACCAACTTTATGTTTGCATGGGGGGTAGATTTCTGTGTATGAACCTGGAGACCATTGCAGATGTTTGGTTTTGATCCTCACACACTATAAACAAATAGACATGTATCTTCTCCATAAGGAAGCAGTGGTTTAGCAGGATAGCAATGTAACCCTCCTGATGTCAGAATATTTTCACATCTTCCATGACCATTGGACAAACTGGCTGGGGTTGCTGGTTATTTGAATTCAGCAATATCTGGAGGCTGCTAACCCGTGGTCCAGAAAGCTAATGTCAGATCATGTTGAATGCTATAGCCGTTGAATCTGAGGTTCAAATGCCCACTTTGCCATGAGGCTCACTAATGATCTTAAGCAGTCATTCTTTCTTCTGACCTACTTCATTGAATTGTTGTGAGGATAGATTCATGTATGCTGCTCTGAATTCTTCAAAGGAAAGATAAGACACCAATGTAATAAAGATTTGAACATGGATATCTTTGTAAATAAAATGCCACATATAAAGTGACTCTTATTAACTATTTTACTCTACTACTTTTAATGCAGTTTGGGCCAGTCAATCCATTTAGGACTCAACAGATGGCAGCTCCCAGGAACATGCTTTCTGGATACACAGAACCAGCACATATTAATGATTTCATGTTTGAACAACAGAGAAGAACATTTGCAACTTACGGTAATGTGTGTGTGTGTGTGTTTCTTTATATTCCAACTGATTAAAAACTTGTTATGCTTATTGCCATGCTCTAATATACCTCCAAACTCCTTAGAACCTTCAGAGCTTGTAAATAAGCTCTTTATGGGTTCAGAGGTTTTTTAATTTTTTAAATCCTGGATTAAGAATACTATGTCCATATGCCATTGGTCTTTATCGTGAGTAGTTAATGCTTGAAGCCCTTGTTTTTAATTGGAAATCTCAGTGGCAGTTTGGGCTACATGTATGTATGCCACCAAAATGTGCAGAAAACATCTAGGTTTAAATTACCATATATTTAATTAACTTTCCTTTTTTGGTTGCTCTTTTGTTTATTAAAGCGTTTAAAATATTAATTTTAGTTGTATAATCCCTAAAAGAGTAAAGTAATTATTCAGTATTGAAATACTGCTGGCAGCATATACAGCTCTGCAACATACCTGAAACAACCCTCATTGCATAGAAACAATTAAGATGAAATAAACATATAACTATTCTGGATGGATGTAAATGTTCACTTTTGTTTCCATATTGAACAAACTATTATACTGCATTGTTTCCATCCAACTTTCATCATAACTTGAAAGTAACCAGGATCAGAACTGCATTGCAACGACTCATATCCCCAATACACTGTGGGTCACTGTGAAGCAAATATTTAATTTTTTTAAAATCTTATTATCCATAATAATAAAAACAAAAAACCATGTTAATAAAAATATTAAAGTAACAGTAAAAACAATGTAACAGTTAAAACCAACTGTAATTAAATTTGTTTAAAAATGCTATTGAAACACCAGTATTTAAGAAGGTTAATTCCCTCAATTCAACAGGGAGTACATTCCAAAGTTTAGGATCAGCTATAGCAAAAGCTTGGCTCCAGATCACTCTGAGGTTATCTATTTAAGAAGGTCTGCATATGGGATGTTCCCATAATGGTACTAGTACATAAGAGTCCCTGTTCTGAAAAGTCATAGTTGGGGGGGGTATTTTTATCCATTCCATGAGCCTTATGCCGCTATCTAAACATCTTTATAAAATAGTTAATTAAGATATATACTACTACATTAACATCTATATTTTCTGGAGGTAAAAAGATGAATATTGCTCTGGTCTAGCACTTCCTTTTCTCAGTTTTCAACAGTAGCAAAGAATGTCTCCATGTGCAATGACAATAAAAGAATTTGCCAAATGCTAGGAGGTAGTGAAGGCATCTTCTCTGTCTCCAAGAATCCAAGCTTCTCTGCACAGGAATGTGCTTGTACCTAAAATGCTGCAAGAATTAGACAAAGGCACCATTGTTCAGTTACATCAGTCTAATAAAATAAACTGGAATGTTGGCAGCAAGAGACAGCAGGAACTAATACATTCGATTCACCCAGATCCTGGGCTGTTTTCCAGGCCTATCTTTGTGGAGCACTATTGATTGTAAAATAAAATATTGTAGATGACAGTCAGAGAGTTTCAATCTTCCCGTTTCTTGCACTTTGCTATTTGTGAGTACGTTCATTTTATCTCAGCTTAGAGAGCATCAGAACATGCTTTGACAATTATATATTCAAATAGAATTTATTCTAAGCCATTGAAAGAAGATACAGGATAGCAAGTATAATTATTGGTACTTGCTATCCCAAAGACAGTAAGGTGATATTTGTTGAGGAGGAAATTCAGTAAGATTTCTCCTGTCAAGTGATGGTAGAGCAGGAGCAGGCAACTTTTTGAGTCAAAGATTTCAATCCTGGCCTGACCAGCAGAAGGGCCGTAATTGAAGTTGTTGATAAGGTAGGGATGTCAGAGGAAGAGGCAAGGCTGCAAGGTGGGTGGATTAAGGAGGATATAAGAGTGAGAAGACTCTAAGAAGCAAACCATTCTAGTTTCTGTCCTTAAAAAGCTTGAAATCAACTTACCAAGATGGCCAGATTTCAGCGGAATGATTTGAGGCCATGTATGGAGGAATCAAAGATGCAAATTGGAATAGTTTGCAATCCAGAGACATGCTGTTTCCTATTCCCACCTATGCTTTTCCAAAATTTGTGTTGCCAGCTGTTAGCCGTATGATCTGTTTGCACAGATTTCAGCTATACAGACTTAGAGTGTCAGAATGAACGTGATGTCACCTATATTTGAGCTATTGCGTACCGTCATATAGACAAACTTCTAGTTGTTGAAGAGCCAAAAGAAAATCCATATTATTTTTCTGTATTCCGCTTAATTATTAAAACAGGATTCTGGATTGTTGTTCTCCTGAATTTAACCTTCATTTGAATAAATCCTGGTCACCAGCATGGCATTTGAAACACTAGCATGCTTAATGACAGTGTCTTTAGAAGCCACCAGGCTCCATGCCCCACCTTACTTTTATTTAGATTCTTTTAATTTTTTTAAAAATGAGAACCTAATAAGTTGCAAAACAACATATCTGGTTCAAGCATTGCGTGTATTTTCAAGAATGGTTCTGAATGAGTGTCCATGAGATGCTCTCTAAATTCCAAATGTATGTACTGATTCAGAAAGATTAAGGAAACCTTTTGGATGGTTATGGTTCCATTTGGAAGAAAACGATTTAGCTGTCACTGTGTTAGCCACTGTTTCTGCAGATGATTCTGTGTTATACTGATAATAATAATTGAAAAGAATTATGCTTATTAGGAACCACATGTCTATTAATCATGTCATACTCATTTTATGTCAAAATCTGGAGAGAATTGAACATCTTTGTTTAGTCTTTTGTATTTTGTATTGTAAATGGATAAAAGTTGCTTTTCTTCTAATTTGCCAAAAGCAATCAAATGTTTGTGTCCTCAACAGTTTAGCCTTTTCTATCATCCCAAGGAGGGCAGTTCAGTTTCCTCATATGCACACATCTTGAAACTTAATTTTATTCAGATCCAGGGTTGGGATAGATGAACTATAGCTTTTCTTATTTATATGAAATTGTTTATTGCTAATGTGAGAAAGGGGAGGGATCGAACTTAGACAACAACTTTTACATAAAAAGGGTCCTGTTATAAAACAGCAGATTTTCCCCTTAGAACTGCTTTTGAAAGTCTCTGTCTAAAAGAAAGATAGGAATCTCTTTCACATTCTCAGTATAAAGTAAGAGTTGTTCAAAGTCCTTTTCATAAAGAAAAGATTCTGAACAAAATGCAGTTTAGCTATCGAAACACAACTCTCACTGAAGGCTTCATCTCATCCAGAAGCTCCATTCATGATCACTTGGTTTGAGGGAGCAATAGCTAAAAAATAAGAGTCCTAGAGACAGCATCAGTACAGTTGGAGGACAAATAAGCTGCTGTATTGATTCTGACATAAATCCAAATGAGCCTTCTGCCTTAATCAAAGAAGGACTATGGAGTCTATTGGTAAACTGATTCAATTACTACTCAGTTATAATAAAATTGGGTTTTATAGTGTTATTTTACTCATATAGAATTTGTGTCTAGTACAAACGTCAAATCTCATGACATTTGCAGTGATTAGCATTGTCAACAACTCATAAAAATGCACTTGAATAGTTTAAATTTGGCAATGTTGAAGGAAAGAGAAGCATCAGAAATGTAAATTTCTGCTTTCATTAAGCCTCAAGATTGCTTCCTAGAAACTATTATGAAATATAAGTGGGCTAAACTGACAAGTTTGCTGTGTTCTTTCAGTGAGTTATAGTTGTACCTTGCCTTCTTACTTTAGAGTTCAGTAGAGGTTGTAAATATTTGTTTCAACTCAGAATACATAAGCTCAAACTTTTTTGCTGGGGAGGGGGGTTAAAAACAGTCTCATAATGGTAATGCAAGTAGAATTGTTCATGCATATTTGATGATCCAAATAGAAAATATTTGGGCTTGGACCAGGGAATCATTCCAAGGTTCCACATAACTATAGAGTTCATGGGGTGACTTTGGGCCACTCATTCTCTCTTCCCACCCAACCTCTTCACAGTATTGTTGTGAGAATAAAAGGAGGGGAGACTCCCAAGTGTGCCATTTTGAACTCTGAGAAAAAAAGTGAGTTATAAACACAGTTAATAAATTTGCAGCTTTTACCATACTATATATTATATATAGTACTACTGTATAATACTATATATTAGTTTAAATTTAAGTTTAAACATAAATAAAGAGTGTTAAATATGTACACAATAATTATATTAATAATTTTTCTGTCACATTAACAATTACAATTTGGTGGCAACATTTAGAAGAATTCTAGAGGCCAGAGCTAATGTTTTGGAGGCCCACAAGTTGTTCATTTCTGCACAAAGGCATAATGTGGTTTGTTTGATTTTGGATCACTGAGATGTTAAACCCTTCCCACAAAAGATTATTTATATTGTGGATATTTGAAGACGTAGCTTTAGGATATGGTCTTAAACAGAACCACCTTGAAAACAATATAGTAATTACAAGGTCAACATGGATTTCTCAAGAATAAGGTGTCAGACTAATCTTATCTCATTTTTTGGTTTTGTAACTTCCTTACTAGATCATGGAAATGCTGTAGATACAGTATATCTTGCTTTTAGTAACACATTTGATAAAATATTGCATGATTGATTGATTATGTGCCATCAAGTTATTTTTGACTCCTAGTGACCAAGGAGATTTTCTCCAAGCTGATCTACAGTATCCCTAACCTGTTCTTTCATGTCTCCAAATGGTGCACTCATCGCCTCTGTAACTGAGTCCATCCACCTTGCTGCTAGTCATCCTCTTCGTCTCTTTCTTTCTACCTTTCCCAGCATTACAGCCTTTTCCAGAGAGCTGGGTCTTTGCATAATGTGTCTGAAATAGGATAATTTGAGCCTGGTCATTTGTGCCTTGAGTGAGAACATCAGTTTGTTTTCTTGGCTGTACACGATATTCTCAGGAGTCTTATCCAATACTAAAGTTCAAAAGCATCAATACTCTTCCTATCCTACTTCTTTAAAGTCCAATTTTCGCTTCCATACAGTGTCACAGCGAATACCATGGCTTGCACGATTCTGATCTTTGTACGTATAGACACATCACTGCATTTGAATATCTTTTCCAAGGCCTTCATGGTTGCTCTACCAAGTATTAGTCTATGGCATATTTCTTGACTGCTTGTTCCTTTACTGTTGAAAGTTGATCCTAAAAAGCAGAAGGTATCCACCATTTCAGTATCTTCATTGTCCATTCTAAGGCTGGTTGTTCCACCTATTGTTATTACTTTAGTCTTCTTTATATTTAATTTTAGCCCAATTTTTTTCACTATGCTCTTCAACTTTTAGTACTAGGGCTTGCAAATCCTTTGCATTTTCGGCTATCAGGGTAGTATTATCAACATAGAGCAGGTTATTGAAGTTCCTTCCTCCAATTTTAAACCATCCTTATCTTCTCCCAATCCAGTTTCCTTTAATATATATTCCACATATGAGTTGAATAAATAAGGGAAGGGTATGTAGCCTTGTTGCAGTCCTTTGCCAACCTGGAGCCAGTCTGTTTCACCATGTTCTGTCTGGGGATTTCTTGACCTGTATGTAAGTTTCTCATGAGGACAATAAGATATTCTGAGATTCCCACTTTTCTGAGCACTTTCCACAACTTGACGTGATCGACACAATCAAAGGCTTTTCTATAATAGATGAAGCACATACTGACTTCTTTTTGGTATTCTTTGGCTTTTTTAATTATCCGGTGTGTGTGTATCCCATGATTAGTAAGCCAATTAATGTGGAATGGATATAATGACAGTTAAATGGATAAATAGTTAGCTTGAAAATCATATTCAAAGAATGCTCATCAAACTGTAGAGGGGTATGAAGTGGAATACCAAAAGATTCAGTCTTGATTTCATGTTAACCATGATTCATACTCTAAAACAATATCTAATAACTGAAAATTATATTTGTGCTTAAATGTGTGCTGACAGGAGGGGGAAGGAGCATAAATCTGGTGGCGTGATCCCTTATTTTTGATTAATGTTACAGTTTACACTTTACAGTGTTAGTGGATGATTGTCTGTGATTGGAATCCTGTCATTTTTTTGTTATTTGTAAGCATTTTTAAGACAAACAGGTATTTTGTTCAATCATACAGTAGCTGCAATATTGCTTCCATTTTTTTCTTTCAATCACTCAATCAGCATGGAAATATCCTTACATTTAGAACTTTTGAAGAGCAAGAGATGTCAAAGAAGCCTAGGGACAGGTGTGTCATCTATCCTCTTAAATAAATAGGTCCCTAGAATATTATAGATTCTTACAGCAAAAGATTGCAAGAAACAGAATAAATAGTATTTTTAAGCACAGTTATTCTGTATACCTTTGCTAACCCTGATTTAACCATGAAATAAAGCTTACAGTTGGAGTTAAATTACTAAAAGTAAAAAAGAATTAAATATAAGCCACAGTATCAATCAATGCTGAAATGCTGTTTCTTCAAATATGGTCAATAGTTTTATAGACTCTTTGAATTCTCTAGATTGATATGAAGCTTTCTGTTTCAGCGGCCATACAATGTGAAAGACTGAATATATGGCTTATTCAGATGTTGATAGAAAGACAGGAATATGTGGTTCTGCATTCATATCCCATATATAAAGTGGTTATAATTGTCTTCGTTTTTACCATTATAAAAACAAAAGCTGTGAAAATCCTAGAAGTCTGTTGATAATCAGTTAATTCATGATGTTCTTTGTAAGGAAATGTGCTGTATCGAACATGAGCCAAGGGCAAAAGTTTTTTGAGAGCTTGATGATATAAATTTAAATTGTGGCAATAAAAATACTTTACAAAAGATAAATTTAAAATTATTTCATTCTGCAGGATATGCACTAGATCCTTCGATAGATAATTATGAAGTTTCTACTAAATATATTGGATCTGTAGAAGAAGCAGAAAAAAATCAAGGTAAAAAAATATCAAATATGATTTCATTATTATCTTTTATTCTGTATTCTTGCTTTCACAAACTGAAAATTAAGCATTGTATGAACATAACTTTCTGATGGATGAGAAAACATCTTACCGTGTTCATGGCAGGGGTTGTGACTTGTTTGAGTGGTTGAGGCACATTTTAAAATCTGGGAGTGTGTCATGAGTGCTTTCAAAAAGTGTTTTGGGTGGGGATTGAGTATCACCTCTAGTGCCTCTTCTTATTGCCATCACTTAACTTTGTTTTTGTTTTCGGGGCAGGTGACCACATTTCTAAAGAAAGTGTTGAGTTGCAGGTAGTCACCATTTTTATTTTCTAAGAATGCCTTTATTTAGTTATCTCCATATGGCTTTAAATGTGCTATAAGGAGGAAACTAATATGGAACCTAATCGCACCAGAGCTTAGCAGCAGAAGTAGTGTATGCTACAAGTGTCAAATTTTGCCAAAGCTATTTGGAGTTTTATTGGCTATATATGAGCATGATGCAGGGAAACTGCTCATGAACTTGCCATCCACAAACTAAACTTTATTTTGTGTGAGGGACTTAAAATTTTCAGATAGGGCGGACTACTATCTGGTCTCTGAAAGCACCAATTGATATTTCAGGAGGTAGAAGAATATTCTGTCATTCTTAAAGTAAGAATTGCTTTCAAATCTGGACATACTCTTCTGTTATTCTCCATAGGTTTAACTGTGTTTGAAACAGGACAAAAGAAAATGGAGAAAAGGAAAAAATTCAAAGAGAATGATGCATCTAATATAGATGGCTTCTTGGGACCTTGGGCAAAATATGTTGATGAAAAGGAGGTTGCAAAACCTTCAGAAGTGAGTACCCCTTATTTTTTATTTTCAAGTATAAAAGTAGTAAACAGACTGGGATGAGGAAACCCTGCATTTTGTTTATGACATTTCTTTACATATGCAGCTGTACTCCTGCTCTTGTGTTTTAAATGGGAGAGGAAGTCTTGAAAAGCTCTATGTAGTAATTCAGGACAGCAACTTGGTGCTATGCAAATGTTTTGAATTACAGGTCCCACAATTCAGTTGCTTGCAATTGGCCATTCTGCTGTACCTGATGGGAATTAAAGTCTAAAGTGTCTGAACAGCATTAGGTTTCCTAATCACTGATTTAAAAAGAGTGTTTATTCATTATACAATATGATGCTCTGGTACCGTGGAATCAGAGAAAAACAGCTTACAAGACATAAAGCATGCAGATGGTTTTTGAAAGTAATTCCTCAGATTACAGAGCATCAAGGTGTCAGTTACAAAAACAGACGGCTCTACTCAGACTATTGATGCTACCTTAAGGTAGCTTAAATCATAGATGTTATTATTGACATTGATATACAAAGCCTCTGTATCTGTAGTTGAAATCTTAGACTCTATATCTTTTTACTGTAAGCCACCCAGAGTCGCTCTGCAGCGAGATGGGCAGTAACAAATTTGAAATATAAATATAAATAAATAAATAAGACACCGGTAGAAAAAAATAAAAAATATATCATAGTGTCTCATATTAAAATGTTTCTAAATTAGTCTTCCAGTGCATTTTTTTTACACAAAAGACCATTCACATACTCAGCCACACAAATGGATTCAGTGCCCTTCAGGATGCTTTAATGGTGATATTTTTGACAAACATCCTTTCCTGTCTTTATCCTCAAATCACAAAGCACTGTTACATGTTTTCAATTCTGTGATGGCTGTCAAAGACACCAACAAGAAAGGAGGAAAGAAGCATGGATGTGACAGCATAACTAGCCATCTTTTCTTTATAATCCCTGTGCATCACATAAGTGAAAAATAAGCATATTTACTAGGGAAAGTGGGTCCGTCTCAAAACAGTAAGGACAAAGTAGCATATCCAAAGACTCTGAGGTCTGGACGTTAATAAGACATCAAGAACAGATCCTGTCAAAAATGGTATGAGGGCTAGACTAGGTAGATCTTACATTATGCAAGAGAATGTGTATGTTATCAAATCCTCTTATAAAATGAGTCCAGTTTCAATCTGGAGTATAGTTACATACCAGGGGTGACCCTATGGCTAGTACCAAAGTGCACACACACACACACACATACATAAACACACACGATGACTGCACATGTATGCAGTTTTTTGTAAAATCAACTTGTTCACAATATAATTTCCTGAAATTTACTTAAAACCCATTATTTCAGATATCCTTTCTTGTTTTAGTAGAAGAACTCATTGAAAGTGTGCAATTCTATATTTTGCTGTAGAAATAAGGATTGTAATTTTTAATATCTTGGTAATTTAGGAAGAACAGAGGGAACTGGATGAAATAACTGCAAAAAGGCAGAAGAAGGGCAAACATGAAGATGATAAACCTGGAGAAGAAAAGACAGTTTTGCATGGTAAGTGATACTGTTAGCAATTCATCTGCATTTCTGTCATCAACCTTCCACTATGTCACTATTAAAGATAATCCCATCTACTGTATTTTATTGGACTAGTAATTCTTATAGCTAGAAGTCAGTGCAGGGTGGGTGTTTGTGTGTGTGGGTGTTTGTATGTGTATGTGTGGAATCAATAAGAAAGCAGCTTAGAAACTGTTTTTTGTTGTTTGTAGTAACACAGGAAAGAAATTCAGCTTGCAGTTAAATTTAAGATGTGGGCAGATTGTACTATTGGGAACACTGTGGAAATGTCATTTGCTTGGTTACTCATCTCAAATGTCAACTCCTTGGTTTTTAATTTGGCAATCTCCTTTTTGGTGGTATTTCTGTAGTCACCTGGATCTTTATATTTGTTAGGGTTTTTTTTAATCTGTGTATTGATAAACCACTTTATTTTCAACTTGAGTACAGTCCACAATTTGCACTTCTCTCCCATGTATGCCATTTTCAGTATAGAGATGCCTTTGGTGCAGAAGAAAAGAAGAAAATATTTTCATATTATTTAATCATATCATTCTGCCATAGAAGTGATACGATTAAAATTTTAATCATATCATTTCTACTAAAGTTGTAGTCATAAAGTTTTGATGCTGATGTGAAAAACCTATAGCAACATGGAGAAAAGCTTTTGCTGTTTCCTCTCCTTACAACATAATCTTTCTAGACGTAATGCTTCCTTCTCTTCCTAATACTGGTTCTGTTTGTCATCATTCTGATTTATGTATGTCATTAGGACTCTGTTATTCTCTCTCTTTTTTTTTTCTTATGACCTTCTTTTCCACAAAGACTCAAGCAGTTCTATGTTGGAAATCAGTCTGAAACATGAAATTAAATGATGAGGATATTTTTCATATATATTCTTGTGGAATGTCCCCCAAGACAAGACAGGTACCACATGTACACATACTATGAAGATTATTTTCAAATAACAGCACATTTTTTAAAATGTGCATGCTTATCCTGCCATAAACCTAAACTTTTTGTCAAATCAAGTTAGTCATTTAATATTTCTTAAGTAGAGAGCTTATATTTTAAGCTCAATGAACTTATTTATTTATTCATTCATTCATTCATTCATTCATTCATTCATTCATTTTGCTTCTGTGTCACCCATTCTCACAGTGGCTCAGGACAGCTAAGTGTCACCATAAAACAACACTGCAAAATCTCAAGTACAGATTCAAAATGACTAAATCAAAGAAGATTTAAAAACTGAAAAATGGAAATCTCATGTTCCTGCAAAGCCCGCCTTCAGTTACAGCTTGCTCTAATCTGATGCCAGGCAGAACAGGTTGATTTTCAATAATCTCCTAAGCTCAAGAGGGACAGAGCTGACTAGATCTCTACTGGGATCTAAGGGGTTCCAAAGAGTGGGGTGGCTGCCAAAAATGCCTGCTTCCAAGCCTCCATCAGATGATAGTCACCTAAGGACAGGACCTGAAGAGAGTTGACCTCATTGGGTGGGCAGATGAATACAAATATGCACATATAGCTCAAGGATAGAAAAGAAACTATGTTTGAGCTAAATATTTATCATCTCAGTATCAAAAAGAAGCTATCCAAAGAAGTTGAATTTAAGGCCAGTGTTTGGGATATACTTCATCTTAATCACAGCCACCTTAACATTGAATTCTTCTATTATTTATTTGACAGTGTACATTTTCTACTTTTATATGGCATTTTTAAAAAGTAATTAATTTGTTTTTTTTAGTCAAAGAGATGTATGACTATCAAGGGAGGTCCTACCTTCATGTTCCTCAGGATGTTGGTGTTAACCTACGTTCAACAGTACCCCCTGAAAAGTGTTACCTTCCTAAGAAACAAATCCATGTATGGTCAGGTCATACAAAGGTAAGGAACACTTGAAAATTATACTTTCCTCCTTTGTGTCTTTGCAGTCCTTTCCTTTATTATATTTAGATTTAGTTTCTTCTAAATTTTCCAGAATTTCAAAATGTTGGAAAAATTGCACAAGTTATTACTAGACAAATTTTATTGCTGTATGTCAGTTTTATTCCCAATTTCTAGCCTATCTCTGCTAGTTATCACTACTTTTCCATGTACGCTTTTTAAAATAGACAATGCAAATAGACATTTTAAAATAGACAATGCAAAACTTTTCAGTTTAGATACATTGAATTTCATGTTTGAAACAGTTATTTTGCATTTAAAATGAGTTGTTTCAACCATTTTGGAAGTAATTTGAGCTCGAAACAGTTGTGTTTCGAATTGGAAGCAGATGCTTTAAGGTCAAAACACTTCCAGAATAATCAAAACAACCAATTTTTAATTTGAAGCAGCTGTTTCAAACTCAAAAACAAACCACTTCAGAATCAAAGTATTTTGCACATCTGTATTTTAAAACCATTGGCCTTAGTCAGAGATCCAGTCTTGAGTGGCTATTCCTTCATGGAAACTAATGGTACCTGTTAATGGCAAAAATGGGGAAAAAATGCTACAAGTTAGAGCTGTGTACTAGAAAGTCTTCTGTTTGCTTGTGGGAGGATTTTGATGAGTTCATAGCAAGTTTCAAAGTGTATATCCTAAACCTAACCTATGCCAGTATTTTCTGTGGCTCAAAAAGTGCTTGAAGAATCTCCCATTTTTTCACAGGCAGTATGTTTATAGAAGGTATGGAAGTCTCAAAATAATTTAATACTAGGTCAAATAATAAATAATATGATAGGCCAGCCATTTGTTACACCAGCAAACCTCTTTCTGTAGCTAATGGGAAGACTTTTTGTCGGTGGAGGCACAACTGATTTCTACATCATCTCAATACTTGCCTTAGGTTTTAGCATCATTCACTGCACATTACTATTAGTTTGTTGATGGTGTGGAAAGCTACTGTATTCAGATTGACAATATTACTTTCACTGTCTATGTAGGCTATCAAGCTTTTTTATGAAATGTGACTATATACTTACCTATTTTAGCATTCACTCTTCTTTTTTGTAGAATTAAAAGTGTTGCTGAATTCATGCACTTTTTTGTGATTTTGTAGGAACAATTAATTTGTTAACCCTGTGTAACAGCAGTTTCCCAGTATGTTAGAAAAGGGACTTATCCAAAACCTACCCAAACTTTAGAATATACTGCAGTCATAATATACTGGCCTTGAAAATTAGAAGACACAAGACTTTCTTGTGGAGCTTTGGAGATACATTTGGGTCAGTTACATTTGCTTCAGTAGATGTTCCAGGGTTCTTCTTAGAAGCTATGTGAAACAAAGTATCTTAGAGATACCCCCCTTCTATTTTAATTCTGAGGAGTAAAATAAGAATCTTTAAAAAGAATTGGTACACAACAA